AAAAAAAAAAAAAAAAAAAAAAAATTACACCATTAGAGGCCACATGAAGTTGGCAACATCTGTCTGTACTCAATGTCTTCTCAATAACGTAAAACAGAAAAAGCAGCTTCATTGCTTTTTACCACATTTTTGTTCAACTGAATTGGTAACCAGTGTCTTGTCCCACATACATTACTGGGCAAAGCCTCTACTCAAAATCAGTGAGTTTTTAACTACATAAGACCTCTGGGTCTCTGTTTGTCTCTTCTCATTGTATTAATTATTAAGGCTAAGGTCTTACTCTTCCATAACAACCAACTCAAATACTTCAACTACTACTATGAAGCACCTAGCCTTTATGGCAGGCATTGAAAAAGCCTCTCTGGTTGTTATCCAGAACTTCCCTAAACTGAATTTTCACACTTAGTTTTTTTCTTTACTCTGAGGAGAATCACAAAGTAAAAGCTCAGCACATCTATTCTCGCTCTCTGAAGAGTTATTGCCTGAGATACCACAGACGCAACATTCTGTACCTGTAAGAAGTTTACGTTACCTGATTCGGATATGCAAATACGTCAAGTTTTTTATGATTGTGAGAGCAAACGTTTAAATGAATTTGCTCTGTGCAGTCTTTCCACAGGAACAGCTGAGCAGGTGAAAGTTTTGTTTGGCCAGATTAAAGCAGGAGAGCAAATACCAGAGAATTTTCCCTGAAAGCAATATAAGTGCATGTGTACAAACATGTATACATGATCATGCAGCCACACAACAGATACAACATATGAGACAAATTTTGTACATCGGTGTTTACTGAGGGAAGATAGCTCACAAGGACTCATCAACCCATGTACACCATGATGCATGCAGCATTGATTCTGTCATTTATATTCAAATGACACAGCTTGAATTTCCTGACAGATGAAGAGAATAAAATACTGCAACTACATTCACTTACTACATTTGTGAAACTGCAGGTGTTTTGGAAGCCTGTAAGTAGATGTAGTCAAATAAATTAATAATTCCAAATCATTATATTGCCTTTAGAATAGTTTTGCTTTATAGATTCCTGAGCCTGACAGGAAATAATTTTCCATATTTCATAGAAAGGTTAGCTGACCTTAGCAGGATTGCGTAACTTGCTCAGGTCACCTGTCAACTCGATGATGAACCAAGGCTTTAAGATCTCCTTGAACTCTTGATTTTTCAACACAACAGCTTTGGGCAGGAAGCAGAGGATGCCTTACCCAATAAAAGCCAAGGTGGAATTTAGGCAGGTCAGTGCAAGGCTGTACAACAAAATATAGCCAGTGAAGCAAACACAGCAACCTTACCATCTGGAAACACAGCACAGTATATTAAGTCACCAGAATTAATGAACTTGGCATTACTTCTTAAAGTCCCACACCTACAGATAACACGGCTGGGTACGTTCTTTCTTCTACACACAACTGATGTCTATTTGAGTAAGGTAGCACTGCATTAGTTATTTACTGACTACATTTTAATGAATGCTCTTACCATGGACTGTGCTGCACCATATGCTTATTTTCAAGGACTTATAGTTTATTACTTGTATTGTGGTAAGATAAGAGGTCAGCTGAATGCTAAGGTCCACTGTGGCATTGTACACACATGAAAGTTGAGAGGTTTTGGGTAGAATAAAAGCAACTGCATAGTTAAATAGTAATTCCTGCTAAATAAGAGGCTTTAGACTCCAGGTCTATTTTTTTAAAATTGTGAAACTAAAATAATTATGGTATCAAATAAGAATACATCAGCATAATTTTTTAAAATAAAGATGCACAGCACTTACTGCTGCATTTTAGAGCAACAGTACCATATGGGAGAATCTAGTTCAGTCTTCTCAAGATAGCTAAAACTGCTCTCTGCAGTAAGGTGTAGGTGTCTGCAAATTACACAGCTTCTTGAGTCAGTGCCGATCTAGATTGCTCCATTCATAATTAGACTTTTGATTGGTACCTATCCAGATCATCTCATTCATAGTATGATTTACAAGCAGGGATGGAGACAGACAGGCAAAGCAGTAATTGAGGGAACACCAGAAGAACAGAAGAACTGTTTCACATGATAGAAGCATTTCCTATGCCTGCTATTGTCAGAAATTCCTTAGACAGTTTGGTTTGCAAGTACATGTCCATTGGCCATTGAATATGTCCTCTTTGGGGATGGCTCCAGCCCAGTTTAAAATCAGCATTGCATAACACATGCTCATTCCATCTGGAAACTGACAAACCTAAAACCCCATTGAGTTTTTAAGTTGTGCTTGCTTCAAAGACTTCAAGAATATCAAGGGTACAAAGTGTAAATGTTCACAGATCTGCTCTTTTCTTAAATATGTGCAACTTTTTAACCTGAGCAAAAGTCACAAACAGGTTAAAGTAAGACACTGATAAACAAAATTCAAATGACTTGATTCTAGCTACTCCTAATCCACTAGATCACATCATCATACCCTGGCTATTTCTTTTTCCCCGATGTGCAGCACTGAGGGAAACAATTCCTTGAAAGTTACCAGGCCTGATCCTGCAAGACTCTGAACTCAAAGGAACTGAAGGTAATCGATAGCAGTACCAGGCTTTGTGGTTTCATGTGACATGAATTAAACAGCAGACTACGTACATTGTCAACTATATGCAGTCTAGTGTTTTTTAAAAATACAGTGAGGAATATTTTGTGCTCTACAGAATATATGTTTAAACATCTTTTATCTATATAATTTTCTTGACTAAGGTTTGTGTGTTTTTTTTAAAGTCTAAAACCCCCCTCTATTTTACTTGGTACTACAGGGGAAATTGTATATGTTATGTGGACATAATGTCATCAGATAAAAATCAACTGCTACATGATATTCTTGTCTCCAGTGAAGAAAAGCAGAGCTATAAGCTTACAGAAAATTACCTCAGTTTCTTGGTTTTAAAAATGAAAATATGCTGTTACTCAAGCAACATTAGTTGGCAGTTACAAGGTTAGCATAGTGAGCTAAAAAAAGATTTTCACTTGTGTACGTCTAACTTCAACTTGACATAGTATTAAAAAAAAAAAAAAAAAAAGAGGAGGGAGGGAAAGCAGTCTTATCTTTTTGACCAATACAAAATCACTGGACACCTGCTGAGCTGCTCAGGAAAACCAAAGAAAAGCAATAATTCTTGAACAAGAGATTGACACTTTAGATGGCTTTGCAGAACTGTAACACTGCCAGAGAAACTTCTGCTTTTACCCACTGTCTTCGCTAGAGCTTCGTTGTTCATATTTGTAAACAAGACTTTCACTTGATTTCTGTCCTTGACAAAAGAAGTGTAATTGGTGCTGAACATCTCTTCTAAGAAGTTAGAGAAATAGTGAATTCTTTGACAGATCCAGAAAAAACCCCAAACCAGCTCAGGACCTTTATAAAGGAATAGAAAAATTGCCAATCTTAAACATTACCAGTTGGAAGTTGCCATTCCCCTTAGGTATTATCATTATTTTAACCTGCACTTAATAGCTTTTCAATCTCTCATTTCCTCCTTCAGTCTGTAATCACTGTGAGGTAGCCTTGGCTTTCTGTACTGAAAACACTAATCATGAGGTTAAGACATATCTAAGTTTTTTCTAACAGGAAATGTATTACCATTTGACAAGATCTCTCAAATTTATCTTCATATCTGAAACTAAAAGTCTGCTCTAAAATTGTATATAAGAAAGAAACACAAATAAAACTTTAAGATCTTTTTCTATAAAGCAGGAAAAGAAACAGTGTTTGGCTTTTTTTTTTTTTTTTTAATAAACAAACAGTCTTGGGCTCCACAGGTGTACCAAAACAGGCCATACATGAAGAGTACTGTTGTCTACACACATAATATTAAAAACTGAGAAATATTCCCAAGTCTTGCAAAAGAAAAAGGAAAAAAAAAAAGAAAAAGAAAAAGAAAAAGAAAAAGAAAAAGAAAAAGAAAAAGAAAAAGAAAAA